CTGGGGTGTGTCTTCAGGTGCTGTCTTCACTCCTCCATTGCAGTGTGGCCACCCACTGAGTCAACAGAGCCAGGGGAGGGTCAGAGTAAAGCCAGGCAGAGCTCAGCCACTTCACAGCCTCTGCTGCCATCATGTGGCCACCTCATCCCAGTCACCTGCTACTGTTACTGTGACTTTACCTGTGCTTGTCTGTAGCCAGGTGATGAACCCAGGGGACAAAATGTTTGTGCCGGTTCACCTGCCTTTTACAGTGAAATCCCTGCAGAGAGCGTGGGGGGTGTGAGGAAGACACTGGCTGGTCACTGGACGCATGGGGCACTCAGGCACGCTGGGTGAGGCCAAAGCCAGCTCTGACAATGTCCTGGGTGTCCAACACCAATGTGAGCCCCAGGATGGCGCCCAAAGGGCTGTTAGCACCAGCCCTAGGTAGTGAACTTTGCAGCCCTGGGAGCAGGTTGTCAAAGAAGGAGCATCGCCCATATCCTGCTGTGATGGCTCCCCTGGATGTCTGAGTGCCCAGCATCGGGCACCCAAATGCCCCCATGGATGCCCAGTGTGGCCCACTGTAAATCTCTCCTGGTCCCTCGATTTCTCCCCACTCCCTTGTGTCCATCCCATGCCACCTGCAATAACATACTGCGTCTTTACAAAGCACCCTGGACAACCCCGCTATGGCACTGGCCTTATTAACTCTGAACTAAAACAAACCCTTTATGGTACATTTCTCAAAGAAGTACATTTCCTTACAAACCTGATAGTGATTTAACATTCCCTGCTTCCTGGAGAGAGGCCCTGTCTGTGTAACGCAGCATCTAGCTCATGTTTTCTATGTGCCTTTCCTATTCTTCTATCTCCAGAGGAAAGTGAAGAATAAGAGAGAGACGATTGCAGGTGAATTTAACAAGCTGCACAAACTGCTGAGAGAGGAGGAGCAGCTGCTTGTGCAGAGTCTGGAGGAGGAGGAGAGGGAGACTCTGCAGAGACTACAGGAAAATGTCACCAAACTCTCCCAGCAAAGCTCCTCTCTGCAGCAGCTGATCACAGAGATTGAGGAGAAGTGTCAGCAACCAGTTGTCGAGCTGCTAAAGGTGAGACGGCATCAAAATTCTGTCTTCATCCAGAATTATAACTCAGATCCATAGGTCTGGATTCCAACAATGAGAGTAAATGTGTCTGTGGTTTACAGACAAACAGAACATGGGGCTAAGGGCTCCATCAGTTCCAAAATATCGCAGTTCATGTTAGAGGGGAATTCTCCTCACGGAGATCCCAGGAGGCCATGGGAGATTAAATGGATGACACAAAAATGATACTGAGCTAAACCCATCCCTGCTCTGACTCCAGAACATTGGACCCAACACAGTCGATAAACACAGATACTGATGGGCTGGGTCCCGAGAAGGGAGAACCCTTTAGCTAAATTCCTGTCTCCCCTACATCAATGAAACAAGTGTTAAGGCAAAATGCCATATGAGTTTTATCACAAAACAGTGAAGCCTGGAAAGGTTGATTTGTTTTCTAGGTGAAAGGTTGATGCGCAGAGTGAAAATTCACTGTTTTTCACACATGGTTTTAACTAAGAACATTGATTCTCTTTCTCCTCCAGGATGTGAAAAGCACATTGAGCAGGTACGTTTCCGAAGTTCATTGCTCTTATATCCTCGGTAGCGGCTCTGCGGTGATGTGTGCACAGAACAGCTGAGTGATGATGGGATGGTTTCTTCATAGGAGTGAAAGTATGAAACTCCAGGAACCAGAAGCCG